TCTTCTCCAGCAGATTCCAACCTCACTCATCTTTCCATCCTCTAGTCTTCAGTCTCTCCCCTTCCACTAGCTCCTTTCTTGCTGCCTGCGTAGTCAAGTCTCCTCCTTCCTTAAAAAAAATCACTACCATCTCCTCAAGCTATTGTCCTCAATCTCTCCTCCTTTTCATAGTCAAACTTGTAGAAAAAGCCATCTACACTTCTTGTCTCTGCTTCCTCTGTCCCCTTCTCAATGCTCTGAAGTCTGATCTTCTGTCTCATCACTCATCTGAAATTGCTCCCTCCAAAACTCCAATTGATTTCTTAATTCCTAAATCTGATAGGCATTTCTCAAGCTTCCTCATTGATCTCTCTGCAGCATTCGATACTGCTGAGTGTCTCATCTTTCATGACTCTGTACTTTTCGATTTCCCCCTACCTACCAGACTACTCAGTCTTCTTTTCACGCCCTCTAACGGCTCCCAGGCTCCATCCTGGGCCCTCTCCTCTCTATACATTCAGCCACTTAGTGACCTCATTAGCTCCTATGGGTTTAATTTTCATCTCTGTGTAGGTGACTCTCAGATCTACATGCCAGCCCTAACCTCTCTCCTGAGCTCCAGGCCCACAGCAGTGACTGCCTATTCAACACCTCCAACTCAATGTCTTGGAGGCATCTCAAACTCGGGGTGTCCAAAACCAAACTCACTTCTCCTTGGCCCTTTACCCAACCAAACCCTTCTCTCTTCCAGACATCCCTATTTCTATTGGGAGCATAACCATTCTTTCAGTTTTCCTAATTTAAGTGGCCATCTCCAGAATTTAGAATCTGAGAACTGGAAGAGATTTTGGGGGCCTTGGAGATCACATCATCTAGTCTACCCTCCCCATTTTACAGATGAAGAAACTGAAGCCTGGGGGGAGGGGCTTTTCCAAAGTCACAGAGGCTGCTGGTGACAGATGACAATGACAGAATCATAGGAAATGACCTCAGAGGTCATAAAAATAGCTGAGGTTTATATAGCACTTAAGGTTATATCAAGCACTTTACATACATTAATAGCTAGTGTACCTCTTTTAATCCTCACAGTGACCCTGAGAAGTAGGTGCCATTATTACTCCAAATGAGGAAACTGAGGTAAACAGAAATTAAATGATTCACCTAGAATCACACAGCTAGGAAGTGTTTGAGGCAAGATGTGAACTCAGGGCTTCCTGACTCCACGTCCAGTACTCTATCCATTATACCACATTAATTATCTAAGCCTTCCAGCAATTCTGTGAGAGGCAAGTAATATCTCTATTTTCCACTTGAGGAAACTGAAACTCAGCAAGACTTACCCATGATCACACAGGGAAAGGGGGAAGCGAATAAGCATAAATAGCACTTACTATATGTCAGGCATTGTGCTGAGAGTTTTGGTTTGCATCCATTCATTCATTATTTATCTATCTACTTATTTATTACAAATCGTATCTCATTTGATCCTCACCACAACCCTGGGAGGAAGGTGCTATTATCCTCATTTTATAGATGAGGAAACTGAGGTGAACAAAGGTAAAGTGATTTGCCCAGGGTCACACAGCTGGTCAGTGTCTGAAGGCACATTTGAACTCAAGTCTTCCCAACTCCAGGCCCAGAACTCTATCCACTAGGGCACCTAGCTACCTCTGTAAGACATGGCTAGTGTCCTGGGTTTAAGTCTACTTGAAGAACAAGTCTGCTGTTGGCTTTGTGACCCTCAATTGTCCCTGTGTTTTCACCAGAGGAAGCTACATTTTGATAGGCATTGGAGACTTTCAGCTAGCCAAATGCCAGCCCTATTTTCTAAGTTCCTTAAAGTTGAGATTTCCTGTCTTGAGTGTCTCATAGAGTCTGTGGGGGTGTGGGGGGGGGGAAAGGAAAGTACAAAATCAAAACAGCAGCAATGAAAACTGACAATCCCCCCAAACACAGGCAAGGAACAAAGAGGCCTTTAATAAATCAGGCCCCTTATTGCTGCAAAACTATCCCATACTGGAAGATCCCAAGCCCTAACATTCTTGTAAACTCCCCCACCCCCAAATACAGACCACTTCTCCATCCTCTTGTTAATAGAATCTCCTGGCCAGAACGGATAATCCACCAGTACCCCTGTGTGAGGCTGCCTCTGTATTTCTTATATGGCTATGGAAGATTTAATCAATATGCATACATTAAGTACCTGTTTTGTGTCAGGCTAAGTGCTCGGGAGAAAGAAAAGCAAACAAATGATCCCTGCCCTCAGGAAGCTCACATTCTAATAGAGAAGACAGCATGCAAAAAAAAAAAAAATCAACTCTAATCAAAGCATACTATCTGCCCTTTTTTTCCCCTTTTGTTTTGTTTCTTCTTTCTTGTGGTTCCTCCTATTGGTTCTAATTCTTCTTTACAACATGACTAATGTGGAAATACAGAATGTATATGTAGAGCCTGTGTCAGATTGCATGCTGTCTTGGGGAGGGAGGCAGAAGAGAGGGGGAGAAAATTTAAAACTCAAAAGCTTATGGAAGTGATTGTTGAAAACTAAAGATAAATTAATTAAAACAAATCAACTATATACATACAAGATATAGAGAGTAACTGAGAGCTAATCTCAGAGGGGAGTATTAGCAGTGGGGGGGCTGGGGAAGAAAGGTTTCCTACAGAAAATGGGATTTGAACTAAGTCTTGAAGGGAGCCAGAGGAGCTGGAGATGGAGATAAGGAGGAAGAGCATTCCAGGCACGGAGGGACAGTCAGTGCGAAAGCGTGTAGTCGGCAAGGTGGAGCTCTGGAAATAGCACAGGTTTCTGCCTTAGCAGTCACGGGCACTAGGAAGGATCAGAGCTGCCTTTACTTTTCAGGTCTAGTGCTACGAGGTTCACCAAGTGCCCACCTTGAGCCTCACCTCAATCCTGTAATGTAGAGACATTCCACACGTCTATCACCCCCATTTTACAAATGGAGAAACTGAGGTACAGAACTTTTCAATGATTTGCCCAGAGTCAGACAACTAGTGATTGTCATAGGTGGGATTAGAAGTTGTCTTCCTGACTATAGAGATACAGCCTTCTGTCTGCTATACCACACTGCCCTTTTTAAGTAAGCAGAATTTCAAATGAATCACCCCTTTCTCTCAAAACGGACTTCAGTGAATCCACCTGAGATTCCTGGTGTAGTGAGGGTCAGTGACTAGCTTGCTGGACTGGAGTCAAGAAGGCCTGGGATGGTGTTACCCTGGCTATGTTACCCTGGACCAGTCACTTCTTCTCAAGGTGCTCAGTGCTCTCATCTGTAAAATCAATCCATCAGTCAATCAACAAGCACTTACCAATCAACTCTTCTGTACCAGGCAGATGCAAAGACAACAAGGAAATAGTGCCTGCCTTCCAGGGGTTTGCATTCTATTGAGAGATACAACAGGGGGTGATTGCAATCAGTAGCTAATAGGGTTTCTGTAAACATCAAATTTTAAGGCTAGAAAAGACCTTAGAAATCACCTGGTTCAACCCTCTCATTTTACAGAACAGAAAAAAGTGTAGAGACTCATCTTGTCACAGAGGCAGAATTGAACCCAGGACTGCCTCCAAATCCATTGGTCTTTCCACTACCCTGCCTGTATCTGGCCTTTTGCGAACCTTAAAACACTATATAAATGTAGAGGTTATTGCTGAGCAACAGAAGCAAGGAGCTTCTATTGACACGTGACACAGCCATGGTGGACCCCAGCAGGCTTTGACACATGGTGGCAAAGGGCAGCTAGATGGTTCAGTGGATACTGCAAGGGGCCTGGAGTCAGAAAGGCTCCCCCCTCCCCACTTCAAATCTGGCCTCAGACACTTACTAGCTGTGTGACCCTGGGCAAGTCACTTCACCCTGTTTGCCTCAGTTTCTTCATCTGTAAAACCAGCTGGAAATGGCAAACCACTCCAGTATCTTTGCTAAGAAAACACCAAATGGGGCCACAAAGAGTCAGACACAACCGAACAACAAAAACAGGATAGATGGGACCTGAGACGTGATCTAGATTTTTTTTTACAGATGAGGAAATTGAGACTTGGAAAGAGAAAGTGACTTATCCAAATTACCCAGGAGCTCTCTCTCAGCAGAGCCAGACAGTGGAAAGAGCCCTGGGTTTGGAGACAGAGGTCCTGAATTTGAGCCCCAGAGCTGTTGGGACAATTCACTTGGTCCTCAGTTTCCTGTTCTATAAAATGGATGTGTTGGATGAGATAACATTTCATGTCCCTTCCAGCTCCGGGCACCTATGAGTCTTTGTACTACAGGTGCAGATGTGTTCTCAAAATCACCGAGCAACATTAAGGAGTGGGTTTAGTGGCCCCGGTTGCTCAGCCTTCTCCCTGTGTGAATGTCGTATCTGTATGTCTAGTTTTGCTGTGTCCTCAGCTGAGTTTAAGCTCCTTACTTGAGTAGAGATTTGTTTCATTCTGTGACCCCGGTGCCTGGCACATAATTAGACTGTGATTTTCCTGAGGATAGGCACTGTCTTTTGCCTCTTTTTGTATCCTGATCTCTTAGCACAGTACGTGGCAAATAGTAGGCACTTAATAAATGTTTATTGATTGGTTATCGATTAATAGTTGCTTAATAGATTCTTGATTGATTGAGTCGAGGGAACGTGGGGTTTGAATCCTGATTCTGCGTGACGTCGGATAAGTCACTTCTCTGGACCTCGGTTTCCTCAGCTGCTAAAGGAGCTGATCGTAGGATCGTAGATTTAGAACTGAGATTTAGAGCCCTTCTGCTAAAGAAGGAGGGCTCTAAATCTACGATCCTATGTCATGTCTGTAGCAAAGCTCAGGAAATGTTTGGGGGCGAGGTGCCAGGAACAGAGCACGGAATTTAGAAACAGAAGTCAGCTCTGCCTGTTACCAACTGTGGGGCATTGGGGAAAGTCCCTTCGCTCCCTCGGGTCCTCAGTTTCCTTTTCTGTAAAAGGAAGGGATTGGACGAGATGCGTTCCCACTCAGGTCGCGGCTGGAGACCTGAACATTTGTTGCCATGCCTCCCCCGGGCCGCGGGGTGGAGCTGCGGCCCCGCCCGGGGATTTGGGTTTTTTTTTTTTTTTGAGGCAGGGAGGGGCGAGTCAGGGAGAGGAGGAGGGTCAGAGCCTAGGAGTGACTGCAGCTCCGAGGTCCGGCCGCGGTGAGTGTCTTGGGGACTCAGCGTTGGGGGCAGTGGGGGTGGGGAGTGTTGCGCACTGCACAAAGTGCATGGGGTGGGGGTGGGGTTACCTGGGAGACCCCCCCCGCCCCCACCCGTCAACTTCACGTCCTTGCTAGGGGGCCGGGAGGCCCGCGAGGGAGCGATCCCGCCCTGGGAGTGGGGGAGGGGGCGGCGCTGCCTCCGGGTCTGCGTCTTCCTGGCGAGGACCCTGGAGCCCAAAGCGAGCGTGCGCGCACCCCCTGCCCCCAGCGCCGGCGGGACCCCGGGCTCCCGGCAGCTCCCTCCCCTCCCCCGCCGACCGATCCGGGACCTAGCTCATCCCCACCCCTTCCCCCTCCCCCGCGGTGCGCTACAATGTAGCCCTGGGTGACCTCCCGCGGCAGATCGAGAAGCGATAGCCCAGAGGTCACCTAGTGCAACTCTGCTTTTTACCGAGCAAAAGTTCGAACTTGGATCGTTAGAGTTGCAAAGGGCCTAAGGGCAGAGGACGTTAGAATAAACGTTACAGTAGAATGGAGGGTGTTAGATTAGAACGTAAGATGTTAAACAGTGCAGAACAACGTAGAATGTTACAGTAACCAGAACAATATAGAATGTTGGAATAGAGCATAGAATGTTAGAACACAACGTAGGGTGTTACAACAGAACACCAATGCTACACTAGGTAGAAGAAAGTAGAATGTTAGAATAAGATGTAGAACATTACAATAGAATGTAGAATGTTACAATAAATTGAACAATGTAAAATGTTACAATAGAACGAAGGCTTACCATAGAGACGTAGAACTTGGACTCTTAGTATAATCAGAGCATATTATGTTGCACTAGAACGGTCTCTTAGGTGCTGAAGAAAGTCTTTAACTAGACCTGGAGTCTGGAAAACCATGCACCTTCTAACAAGGACAAAGCACTTAACCTCCCTCAGCCTCATTTTCCCCATCTATAAAATGGGGGGGAGGGTGATAGTAGTATTTACCTTGCCTGGTTATTGTGAAGAAACCATCAGATAATTTTTTTATACATAAAGTCGTGCAAAACATTTTTATATAAGCCATGCTGCAAAAGAAAATACACACGCAAACACAAACAAGAAAAAACTTATTAAAAGTGAAAAAAATATACTTCGGTCTGCACTCAGAGTTCATCAGTTAGCTCTCTGGAATTGGAAAGCATTTTTCATCATGGATTCTTTGGGATTGTTCTGGATCTTTGTTTTGATCAGAGTAGCTAAGTCTTTCACTATCCATCATTGTTACAATATTGTGTTCAGTGTTCTCCTGGTTATGCTCACTTCACTTTATATCAGTTCATATAATTCTTCCCAGGTTTTTCTGAAGTCCGCTTGCCCCTAATTTCTTATAGCACAATAGTACTCCATCACAATCATATACCACAACTTATTCAGCCGTTCTCCAATTGCTGGACATCCCCTCAATTTTCAATTGTTTGCCATCACAAAAAGAGCTGCTGTAAATATTTTTCACAAACAGGTCCTTTTCCCTTTTCTTTGATGTCTTTGGGAAACAGTACTGCTATTGCTGGGTCAAGGGGTATGCACACTTTTATAGACCTTTGGCCATAATTCTAAATTTCTCTCTAGAATGATTGGATCAGTTTACAACTCCACCAACAGGACATTAGTGTCCCAATTTTTCGACATCCCCTCCAGCATTTGTCATTTTCCTCTTCTGTCATATTAGCCAATCTGATAGGTGTGAGGTGGTATCTCGGAACTGTTTTAATTTGCATTTCAATGAGATAATATTTATAAAGCACTTTGCAGGTTTTAAAGTGCTAATAAATACTAGCGATTATTAATATTAATATTAATTCCCCTGGGAGCATCCTGGAATAGGAAATAGAATGTCAGAGCTGATGGAGACTTAGAGGTCCTTTAGTCCAGCCTCTTCATTTTACAGAGGAAACTGTAGATTTTAGGATGTCTGAATTGGAAGAGGTCTTAGAATCTTGAATGTTGGGTTAAGAAATAGAGTGTCTGAGTTGGGAAGCACCTTAGGCGACCTCTAGTGGTAAAGCTAGTAGAGTGCTATGCAAACTTGTCCTTTCTCCATACCTTTGTACTGGCCATCTCCCATGGCCCAGACACTCCTCCCTTACCTCCAATTCCCGCTCTTCCTTACTCTTTCTTGAGCACCTTCTGCAAGAAGCACTTCCTGATCTCTCCACCTGCTAGTGTCATCCCTCCCCAACTGCCTTGTCTTTCTGGTTTGTTTATACACAAATAAATGGTGCCTCCCACAAGAGAGTGTTAAGAGTAGGCATTTTGTGTGTGTCTGTCTCCCCACACTTTGCACAGGGCTTGGCACATGGTTGGCACTTAACATAAGCTTATCCATTGATTGGCTTGAAATCAGGGGATGAATACCCTGCCTCAGACACTTCCCAGCTGGCTGACCCCAGACACTTCATTTACCTTCTCCGGTCATATGAAAAGGTAGGATGGTGTGAATTCCAAGGTGCCTTCCAGTTCTCAGTCATGTGCCTGTGATTTGGCATTTTACAGAGGAGGCGTTAAAACAGATGGATGTCAGATCTGAAAGGAGTCAAACTCACAATGATAGAAAAAGATTAAGCGTCAGAGCTGGGGAGGACCTCAGAGGTCTTCTGGTCTAGCTCTTCTTAAACTGGCGGTCTCGACCCCGTATAGGGTTGCAAAAAATTTGGCAACAGTAAAAGGTTTCTGAATATGCAACAACTAACAATTAATTGCAAATCAAATACATAATGAATCCAAGGTGTTTCTGGTAGCGTTTGCCTGTATTGCATCGCACAACCTCACTGCAGCTTTGATTCTGAGCACACAGCATGTGCACTTTGCACTGTGCATACTGTCATGCCATGCAACGCCAATAAACACTGCCAAGATGTGAAAAGGGGTCTCGAGTGGAAAAAGTTTCAGAAGCCCTGATCTCAACCAAGCTTCTCATTTTATTAAGGAATGAACTCAGAGAGTTTAAGCAGCGGGTCTGAGGTCACCTAGTTCCTAAGTGGCAAAGCTCATTTGGGAGCCCAGTCCTCTGGCTTCAACACTAGTGAGGGAAGGGTCCAGTCAAGGGAAGGGAGGGAACAAGCATCTGTTTAGCACTTACTATGTGCCAAGCACTGTGCTAAGCACTTTTACAAATATCATCTCACTGGATCCTTAAAACAATCCTGGGAGGTAGGTGCTGTTATTATCCCAGTTTTACAGTTGAGGAAACTAAGACAGACAGAGGTTAAGTGACTTGCTCAGGGTCACCCAGCTAGGGTTTGGGCTCAGGTCTTGGACTCTAAGCCCAGTGCTCTCATAATAATATAATAACATTTGCATGACCTAGCTTACTCATTCATTTTGAGGATCAAGTGACATTGGATATGAACACACTTGGTCACCATTGGGGGGGGCGGGGAAGAGGCGCTACGTGAGTTCTACTTTGCTTCCAAGTATATGGCCAGGCATCACACCCAGGCCTAACTCTAGGCCAGAACTCGCCATCAAATCGCAGCCAGTTCTGTAGTGTGGAGGTACTTGGAGGTTTGGTGTGCAAAGCTGTTGGTGGCAATACTCCATAGAGATCTGGACTGTGGTCATAGGTTGTTGGCATCACAGTTCCAGGGACCTCAAAGGCCAACAGTCTCATTTTACAGCTGGAGAAGCCAGAGGGGAAGTGACCTGCCCCATGTCAGGTTTTTTTTCCTCTGTAAATCAGGACTGATGGTCTTCCCTTCCCCCTGGGACTTTTTGGAAGGGAGAACTTGGATCCTTGTTCTCATCATCCTCGAGTTCCTTGTCTGACATTACAATCTCTTGGTCTTTTGTGCAGGACTCCTCAGAGTTCACCCTGGCCCTGCTCAGCCTGGATGGTGTTGTCCTCTCCCCAACAGAGAATGACTTTGTCCTCCATGTCAAGGAGGAACTGGACCGATTCCTCCTGCAGAAGCAGCTGTCCAGGTGAGGTCACTTGGGGGCAGAGAGCCGGAGGGGCCGGTTGCCAATCTAATCCCCTGTCAGCATACAAAGTGGTGCTTGGTTCCAGTGTATGCACTGACCCCTCCGTTTCCTCTCACCCAGATCAGTTCACATGTTGGAAGCAGTCAGTCACAGTTAGGAAGGTGTATATAGTCTGTGGCCACATTAAACAAAAGGAAACATTGGCCCAGAGAGAGATCGGGGTCAAGAACCTTGACCATCTTTGCCCAAGAGAGATAGCGTGGCATAGACGGAGTGTGGGCCTTCGAATCAGGAAGAGCTGGGTTTGAATCCTGCCTCTTACATGTATTAGCTTTGTGACCACTTGAGTCACTTAGACTTCACCAAGCCTCAGTGTCCTCATCTCTAAAATGGGGGTAATGATAATACCTATGGCACTGACCTCACAGGGTGGTTGTGAGGTGTAGATGAGATTCTGTAATTATAGTAGCCCACATTTACACAGCATTTTACAAATATCTCTTTTGATCCTAGCAAGAACCTTGTGAAGGTGATGTTGTATCATTTACATACATGTCACCTCCGACGTTATAATGTAAGCTTCTTGAGGACAGGGATTTTTCTTTGTATCCCCAGCACTCGAAGAAGGCCTAGCACATAGTATGTGCTTTGTAGATACTTGTTGATGGGCTCACTGATGGATTGGACAATCAATCTCAAATCCCCTTATCAAATGAGGTAATTTATTAAAGTACTTTGTCAACTTTAAAGTATATATGTTCAGGGCGCAGTGGATAGAGCACTGGACCTAAGTCAGGACAACATGAGTTCAAATCTTCAGACACTTCCTAGCTGTGTGATCCTAGGCAAGTCACTTCACCCTGTTTGCCTCAGTTTCCTCCTCTGTAAGACTGAGATGATGTAACACCTACCTCTCAGGGTTCTGGTGAGGAGTAAATGAGGTAATAATTGTTTTTTAAAAAAAGTGCTCAGCATAGTGCCTGACTGTTGTTATTGTTGTTGTTTGCCCTTTTTTCTTGAAGAGGACGATGACATCAGGGAGGTGATGTAAGTGAATTCACATGTAAGTGAATTGGATTTAAGTGAGGGGGGGCTGTGTAAAATCACCAGCCTCACTTTCTCCTCTGGAGCTGTCTGGGTCCAGTGGCACGATATAGATCAGGACAACTGGAGATGGCCCTCGATGCAGTGGGAGACCTTGACCTTTTTAAGCTAAGGTCTTTAACAGGTCTCAGTGTGTCTGAGGCCACACCCATTCAGTGATTAAGGCTAGCCTCTTTACCTAATCCAAAAAGAAAAAAATCAAACTGGGAGGGTAAGACCTTCAAGGTTTCTGGCCAGAACTGAAGCAGTTGCTAATTACATTTACTCTGAGCAGATCAGGGCCCAAACAATGACCAAGTGGGGCTTGGTCTGGGACCTATTGTTGGCCGGTCAGTGGGTGATTTGGGGGTAAGGTGTGGTCCTTGGGAAAAAAAGGTTTCATTGGTCAAAATGTGCATTCCTTTGGGCAGAGCACCCTCAGGTAAGGGTATGATACCCTACATGGACAGAGGAAAGGGAAATAAAGAAAAAAAAAGGAAGGAAGGAAGGAGCAAGGGAGATAGCTGTGTTGCTCAACTGGCCAGTTCCAGTTGAGTCCCCAGTGGGGCAGCTCCTATTTCTGCTCCTAGAGGTTGTTGTTTGTCCTTTGTTCTCAAAGAGGACCATGGTGATGCCATGACATGCGAGTGCATTGGATTTAAGTGAGGGAGGGCTGTGTAAAGTCCCCAGCCTCACTTTCTCCTCCAGAGACACCTGGGCCCAGTGGCGAGATAGAGATCAGGACGACTCACAGTGCTTGGCACACTTTAAAGCACTAGCTGTGAAGGGTATTATCTTCATTGTCATCATCGTTATTATTGATCTGGGGCAGGTAGGTGGTGCAGCGGATAGAGTGCTGGGCCTCGAGTCAGGAAGACCTGAGTTCAGCCTCAGACACTTACTAGTGTGACCCTGGGCAAGTCACGTCCCTGGTTGCCTCAGTTTCCTCATCTGTAAAATGAGCTGGAGAAGGAAACGGCAAAGCAATCCAGTACCTCTGCCGAGGAAACCCCAAGTGGGGTCTTAAAGGTACTGATCAGTTCGTCTTCGTTCCTGGGACCATGACTTAAGAGCTGGTTGAGCCCTCAGAGGTCATCAGTCCAACTCCCAGTCAACAAGCATTGCCTTTGTGCCTGGCACGGATGAATCCACAGAGGCCCAAGACATTGAATTGCCCAGGGTCACACAGCTCGGATGTGTCTGGGGCAGGATTCAAACCCTGGCCCTCACGATTCCAAGTCCAGTGAGTGCTCTGTTCCTATCCCCACCCCCGCCCTGCTGCCTCTGGTATGTAAATAGTCTCTGACTCCAAAGTCTGACCTAAACGAGTCATTCATATTCTCAGTGCCCTGTGCTGACTGTGAACACATTCAGCCCAGGTCCCAGCAGGCTCAGCCCCTCTCATCTGCCGCTTGACAAGCCTGGTGACCGCAGACAAGTCATTTCTCTTGTCAGGGCCTTGATTACCTCATCTGCCAAGTGAAGATGGCAGGTGAGGTGGCACTCGGGTCCCTCTCTAGCTGAAATATCTTGTGCCCGCAGCATGGTGTGGGACAGACTCCTGTCTTGGGAGGGCCAGCCCTCACTGTGGTGCTTTCTAAGCCTCGCTGTGACCTTGGCAAATTGCTTGGCCTCTCTCAGCCTCAGTTTCCTCATCTGTAAAATGAGGGGCATAGACTAGACCACCTCTGAGGGCCCGCCTGGGTCTGAGTCAGTGACAGTATCCTGCCCGAGCTCCTTGGGAGACCCCTAATCCTCCACGCTCTTCTTTCCCAGCCATGACAAGACAGATCTGGACACAGTGCTGGAAACTCTTCAGAGCTATTTATATCCATCCTTTCATTTAAGCCCCTCAGCAGCCCTGTGAGGTAGCTAGTAAAGTTAGTCATTGTTGTGCCCATCTTTCAGATGGTGGGACTGAGGTTCAGAGAGACAAAGACTTGCTCAGAAGAGTGACTGACCTTGGAGCCCGAAGACCTGGGTTCCGATCTCAGTCTTGACCCCCAGTAGTTGCGTGACCGTGGGCCTCAGTTTCCTCATTTACAGAATGAATCATTGGACTAGATGACCGCCAAAAGTCCCTTCTTGTTCCAGATCTGTGATGTTGAACGTCACAGGGGGGATGGGAACCAGGTCTCCTTGGCCCTGCCCGCACACGCATCCCCCCACCCCAGCCCTTGTAGCATTTCTTCTGCCTGCAGAGATGAGGGCTTGGGCGGCCCATCGTCTCAGAATCTGAGGGTCAATGGGATCTCTCAGACTGGCCGGTCCTGACAAGCGGTCCTACGGCCTCTGCATGAAGACCTTCAAAGGGGGGAGCCAGCCCCCTAGTGCTCAGAGGCCAAGCAGGACAGGGCTTAGCCCTGGTCCATGGGACAGGCCTTCAGAGACTTGGAGGTGGTTCTAGGAGCTCCTGAGGCTCATCCTCTCCGTGCTAGACCCGCTAAGTTCCTTCAAGTAGCCGCCATATAATACGGACTAAAGACCCTTCGTAGTCCTGACCTCTCCTAACTGTGGTGCCCAGAACTGAGCCCAGTACTCCAGATTTGGGCAGAGGCCAGTGAGATAGTCACCTCCTTCTACCTTGAAGCTATGCCCCTGGAAACTATTCTGCAAAAGTTATGTGAATGAATGAATGAACGAACGAACGAACGAACGAACGAACGAACGAATGAATGAACGAATGAATGAATGAATGAATGAAAAGGCATTTGTAAGCACCTACTCTGTGCCAGCTACACTACAAACATTGGAAATGCAAATACAAAGGGAAAATAGTCCCTGCCCTCAAGGAATTTAATGGAGGAAACAGCAGAGATGGGGGATGGAATGTGTCTGGGGAGACTCATAGACAGTCAGTAGACCTAGAGGGACTTTCACGCGGCAATATTGGTATTAATTTGGCTGGTGTTCCTAGAGCAAGTAGGGGCTGAGGGTGGAAGCGACGGGCTAGGCCTTCCCTGCCTAGCCCCAGTACCTTGGTGGGTTGGTTCTAGATGGGATTTGAAGTATGAGGCTGGTTGGATATAGAGGGTAGGAGAACGTGAAGGAGCAGAAGGTGGGGTGGGACTGGGGGGTACTCCTCCTCCTTCCCTTCCAGTCCTCCTGAGCTCTTTCAGTGTGGGCTGAGTAGATGGTTTGGCTCCTTCAAGTGGTTCTCAGGGTTACTGCTTTGGAGGGAGCTGCCTTGCTCCCCTCCCCCTTCCCAGCCCAGGACAGCACTAGGGGATCCCCCAGGGACTGGAGCCAGCCTGCCTAATGCCCTCACACCTCTCTTCCACAGAGTACTGCTGTTCCCACCCCTCTCAAGTCGTCTCCGGTACTTGATCCACCGAACGGCCGAGAATTTCGATCTCCTGAGCAGCTTCTCAGTTGGGGAGGGCTGGAAGAGGAGGACCGTCATCTGTCACCTGGACACCAGGTGCGAAGCCCAGCTCCCCAGGGCTGAAATCCTGGAGGAGAAACGTGGCCTCTCCCACTCCACTGGTGGACTCTGGGATCGGCTCTCCAGTTTCTGAATGGAGAACGCATTTGGGGGCCTAGGAGCCAGGGACCCTCTTTGGGACACAGCCCCCGACATGGACTTGAGCCTTCCTCTTATCAAATCAGGCCCCACGTTTGCTTTGTTAACCTGAATACATGACCCTGAGCAAGGTCGGGTGCTTCCAGTCAGAAGACCTGGGTTTGATCCTCAGTTTTGCCGCTCACTATCTCTGTGACTTTGGGCAAGTTACTTCAACTTTCTGTACCTCAGTTTCCTCAAATGTTAAAGGAGGAGACTGGACTTCCTGGCCCCTAAGGTCCCCATCGGCTCCAAATCTGTGGTCCTGTAATCCTATATTACCTCACCTCTCCAGGCTTTCACTTTTTCATCTGTAAGATGGGAAGAAGAATACCTTCCTTCCCTGAGTCTCAGGGCCCTTTTCCCTCAAATGCTACAGAAATGAGTTATCGTTAGAGTGCCCCGTGGCCACATAGAACACCTCTTGTCCCACTTTGCTTCTAGGTTACCGAATTTGGATAACTTCTCTCCCTCCAACCCGGTCACTGGCCGCCAGGGCAAGTCCCGAAGGCCCTGGGCCAACTTAGCCCAGCAACCAGCCCCTGGGTCCCGGGCTCAACGGCCGGTCCGGAGGCAGCGTGGCCGCAAACCCGACCAGGCGCTGTACGTGCCTCGGGCGCTACGCGGGAAGTCTGAGGAAGCTGCGGACCTGTCCCTGCCAGAGGCGGGTATTGGGGACGGGCATGGGGACTCGATTAGAAAGATCCCAGAAGAACCCAAAGACGTTGGCAGTCCGGACCGGGACCCTGACCCTGACCCCAAACTCCCCCCTCAGGCAGTGCCTGGAGTGGCAGGAGATGTAAAAGACCAGAACCAAAAGGCCCCAGGTGAGCCTGAGCCAGACTCGGATGAGCTGGGTCCCCCTGGCTCCACGAGCCCGTCAAGGGAGGCTGACTGCCAGGAGGCAGAGGATCAGCTCAGCTCCAATCTTCAGCTCTCCCCGGAGGACAGGAAGAAGGTCTTCCTCGTGAAGTTTGGGGAGGGAGAGGAAGACTTCGGCCATTCAGAGGATGAGTCTGTTGAGCTGATACAGGAGGTAACAGGCCCCTTGGGTCCTGAAGTGGGAGACCATAGACAGGGTGGCTGGGGGGAGAGGAAGGCCCTCAGACGCCGTAGGGTGACAGCATGTCAGTGCCAGGAGGGCCTCTGTCCAAAAGCCTCCACACAGCCGTGTTTCTAGGGATGTGGAGGAGAAGGAAACTGAGGCAGGCATCAGTTACCAGGGTCACACAACTCGGAAGATCTGAGGTCAGATCTGAACTCAGGCCTTCCTGACTCCATGGTGCCACCTACCTGGGTGAGCTAGGAAAGAACCTAGAAGGAACAGGTGAAAGCCATGCCCATTTTAAAGATGGGGAAACTTGAGACCTGAAAGGGTTTCATGACTTGCCCAAGTCTCTTTCTTGATCCCCAACCCAGCATTCAGTTTACTCCCATGCTGGGGAAGGATCTCATCATTAGCCCCTTCCTCCTAACCCACCAAAAAAAACCCCAAAACCCACCCCACTCTTTTAAAAGTCCCTCTACAACTGCAAGAAACTGCATTCAGAAGCCCCCAGAGACATTTTGGGGTGACATACTGGGAACGGAAAGAGCCCCACAAGTCACTGACTGCAGCCCCCTGAAGCCCAGGGTCATACAGGCAGTGCGTGCGACAGGAGGGTTGGGAGCCCGTGGCCCCTGACTCCAGGGACTCCCAGAGTTTGTTCTGCCCCCAGCCCCGTCCCTGGCAGGGCTCTGGGCTCTCACGTTCATCCATAGGGTCATAGGAACATAAGAAGGGCCTTGAAAGATCAGCAGGTCCAAGCCCGATGGGAGAACTGAGAGCCAGAGTCCAGAAGGGATTCATATGCAGGCTGGCCAGCAAAAGGCAGGGCGGGGTAGTGGATGGGGCCTGCCTCCAAGCCGGGAGAGCAGGGGCCATGGCTGGCCTCAGACACACAGCAGCTGGGTGCCTCCAGGCCACTCGCTCTGACATCGAGCTGAAGTCATTGTGAATGTGCCTTCGTGGAGGAAGTGGCCATTCTGGGCGTCCCTCACACCTGTAAGTCCAGACCAGTCCACAGACACGTGTGCATGTTCACATGTCCACAGGCACACACACTGTGCACGTTTGTAGCACTACACTCACATACACATATGATGTGCATCGGTGCCCACTACATGTGCACACACACATGCATGTGATGCATCAGACACAATATGCCACACTCACATGTGAATATACCCATCACATGTACACACACGTATACACACGCCTACTGCACATATAACACACTCACATGTATATGCTCACTCATCCACACATGCTTGCATACACATTCACATACGCACACGTACACACACCTACACACACATAGCTGCTCAGTGACAGAACTGGAGTTTGACCCCTGCCCCCATTCTCTGACTCTGTATCGAGGGGCTTTTCTGCTCCTCCCAGGTACCACTTTGTCAGCTCCACTGGCCCCCTTGTCTCGGGCAGGCCTCCCCAAAGATTCCCCTCTGGCCTGTCCCCAGATCATGGACAACGTGGTTGACCGAGAGATTCAGATTGAGAAGGTCCACGTGGACAGCTGCTACCTGATGGATGAGCAGATGTGGGGGGAGAATGGCTTTGGCCACGTGGTGGAAATCTACGACTTTGAGCCTTCCTTGAAGACGGAGGACCTCATGGCGGCGTTTTCGGAATTTCAGTGAGTGGCCAGGGGGAGGGGGGTGGTGGGGGGGGGGGGGAGCTGGGGCCAGGGAGGAATGTGGGCTGGAGAGAGATGGAGCCTTGACCTGCAGAAAAAGCCAGTGGGGCGATCCTGGACACCCTGCCCTGGCGTCATCATTTCCATCCCCAGAGGGTGATTCCTTCTTGTCTTCTGCTCCTGCTGGCCTCAATCCCCATCATTCCAAAGGTGAAGCTGGCTAGCTCAGTGTGCCACTGGGGCTGGCAGGGGGCCAGGTGCGGGCATTTCATTGCTCCATGTGAGAGAGTGTCTTGACAGTAATCTGAGGGAAGGGTTTAGGATTTGAGCGGCCCTGGGTTCAGATGCCACCTCTGCCACTGACTGGGGCTATGACAGACTTCCTCGGCCTCAGTTTCCTCACCTGTAAAAGGAGGGGTTGCATGTGGCGACCTCCGAAGTGCCCTCCAGCCTAGACCCATGATCCTGTGAAGCCACTTTGCTTCATTCAGCCTTGGTTTCCCCATCCTTGGATTGAGGGAGACGGACTGGAGAGGACCTCTGTCCTACGGTCCCTGCCTGCCCCAGGTCTGTGATCCTGTCACATGCCTTCTAGCTCTAAATACGTGATCCCTCCCCAATAGTAACAAGAACAACAGTTCACATCTGTGTCATTATTTAAGGTTTGCAAAGCACTTTACAAATACCCTCCTGTTTGTCCTTCACGTCAGCCCGGGGAAGTGAGTGTTGTTATTAAACCCAATTTACAGATGAGGAAACTGAGAATCTGAGAAATGAAGTGATGTGGCTTGGGGGGGAGGTCACACAGTAGAGAATGGGACATGTTTGAGGACTGAGGAGGGAGGGATGTTTCCTGGAAGGTTTTGAGAGAGGAAGCTTCTGTCCAGTTGTATTTTCTTTTAAACTCTGACACGTCTTCTTTCCCCACAGGGAGAAGGGGTTCAAGATCCAGTGGGTGGATGATACTCACGCTTTAGGCATCTTTCCTTGCCTGGCATCAGGTAATAGGCCTTGTGTTGTTCGGCCTGTACTTGGGGCTCCTCACACCTCCCCAGGCCCCCAGGGAGGAGCTCACTGACGTCCAGGTGTGTTCTCTCTCTGCAGCCAATGAAGCCTTGACCAGGGATTTCCCAGCACTGAAGATCCGCCCCCTCACTCAGGGAACCAAGCAGTCCAAGTTCAAAGCTCTCCAGCGTCCAAGTAAGAAACATCTACCTCTTGGGGTTATTGTGAGGAGCAAATGAGATAATATTGTAAAGTGCTAGAAAATCCTTGTTATAATTATTAGCTACTCCATCTATCCCTCTCTCCTTCCTTCTATTCATCCTGTCCTTCTATTAAGTCCCCACTGTGTGCCAAGCCTTGTATTGGGGTTTGGGTGAGAGCTCTTTGTCTGGGATGGGGATAATGCACCGACCCACCCAGATGGTGTGTGGTGTATGGACACAACATGACCCCTTCCAGAGGGTAAACAGAGAGGCGTGTGGTGCTTTATGAGGCCTGAGGAGGACGGGTAGTCACCAGTGATGGTTGGTGGGGGAGGCCGGCCTCCTCTTTGGAGTTGGCCTTCCCATGAACTGCCCGACTCCATTTTGTATACCCCCACTTTACGGATGAGGAAATTGAGGCACAGGTATTAAGTGACTTAACCAGGAGTTAGCTCATAAGATCATAGATTTAATGCTAAAAAGAAATTTAGGAGTCATCTAGTCCAACTTCCTCATTTTACAAATGGGAAAACAGGGCCTTAGGATCACACAGCTATTAAGTTGGGAGCAGGATTTGAATGCAGGTCTTTCTGACTCCAAATCCAGCCACCCTATCTGCCACACCACCTCTTAAAAGGAGTAATGTGGGGGAAAGTGACAAAAGTAGGTAGGAGTCACATTGTAGGGAGGAAGGAGCAAGCATTTATTAAGCACCTACTGTATGCCAGCACTGTGCTAAGTGCTCTACAAATATTATCTCGTTTGATCTTTACAACAACCCTGAGAGATAGGTGCTGTTATTGTCCTCATTTTACAGATAAGGAAACTCAGGCAGTCAGAGATTAAGTGACTTGCCCAGCATCACCCAGCTAGGAAGTGTTTGAGGCTGGATTTGAACTCAGGTGTTCCTGACTCCAGGCCTAGCCCACTACCCACTGTACCACCTAGCAGCCTCAAAGGCCCCATGCAGAGTTCAGCCATTGTTTAGGCAGAAGTGGGGCGGTGTTCAGAGTACTGGGTTTGTGGCGTGAGTATTCAATTTTCTTGCCAGCTGTGTGACACTGGTCAAGTAACTTGGTCTCTCTGGGCCTTGGTGCCGTGGGCTAGATCTGAGTGGATGACCTCCTAAGGTCTCTAGGGCTCTGAGGCCCGAGATCCTGTGGGAGCTATGTGCTGGGGGTGGGAGGAGGGGGACAGGTGCCTCAAAGCAGGCCTCCTCCTCCTCCCCACCCACCCCACTTCCTGGGGAGTCACCCCCTGTTTCTCTCCTTGCTTCCTGGTGGTTGTTCAGACAGGAGCTCTCTGGTAAACCCTGGATGATAGGATGGGGGCAAATCTGGGTACCAGGCTGAGGCCTAGCCTGAGATTCTGAGAGACTTTGAAGGATCACGGTCCTGACTGTCAGCTGAGGGGATGGGGGTGGGGGTGTCCAGGCTTTAGCACTTACTAAAATGTATGTGCTCTGGGACATCACTTCACGTCTGTGGGCCCTGGTTCCTTATCTATGAAATGGGGATAATCATCTTAGTTAACATTTATTAAGCACTTATACGTCAGGCGCTGCGCTAAGTGCCAGGGATACAGAGGAAAAGATGTGCTTTAAGGGGAAAAAGCTTTAGAAATAAGAGTTATTTGTGAATAATTGTTTTTAAAATGCCCCCATTTTACAGGCAGGGAAATTGAGAGGTAGGGAAGAGTTTTATTCCAGTCTAGGCAGAGAGGATCAGGGTCAGAGTCTGAGAGTCAGGGGCCTCCGCAGGAGGATCTCCCGAGGATCTAGGAATGCTGTGGTTCAGCCAGAGCTGAGCTCCCCGTTCAAAAGATGGTGCTGTCACTGTTGCTTTCAGAGCTCCTGCATTTGGCCAAGGAACGACCGCAGACCAGCACAGCTGTGGCCCGGAGGCTAGTGGCCCAGGCCCTGGGCCTCCAGAAGAGATACAGAGAACAGGTGAGGGCCAAGTCCCCTGCCCAACCTTAAGTCACCACGCTTCCCGACGGAGCAGCCTAGGATCCAAACTCGAGGGCTCTGGGGGCCGGCCCCCCTTAGACCAGGCCCAAGGACCAGCTCCAGCCAACAGTCATCACCGAAAGGTCACCAACCAAGGGTCCAAGCCTGGGGGCCTTGAGTATATTTTTAGATGTTGAGAAGAAAATTAAAAGTGGACTGGGTAAAAGTTGTATTGTCTTTTCCTTGATGCTGGCCCCATCACTGATAAATGGGCCATCCTCCCTGAGGGACACCAGGGGTCTTGTCCATCCCTCCTGGCTGCTTCTTTGTTAGATGGCCTAAAGACCGGGTTGGACGGGGGGAAGGGGGAGAAGGGGAGGCTGGGACTTGGCCCCAGAGGTATTTCTGCTGAATCAAGGCCCTTCGTTGGGTCTTTCCTCCTTTTCCCTAGTTATTCTACTTTTGCAGCAGAGTAAGACCCAGTGTCCTTCCTCTTTCTGCCTCTGATCAAACCACACAATGACTGGTCAGCTGGGTTGGGGGCCCCTTGGGGTTCTCCTTAAACGTGGAATGTCCGTGTGGGCTGTCAAGGGGATATGTCCATGTGGAAAACAGGAGTTAATGGCATCCCACTCTGAAGTCCTAATTGTGTCTGGTGAGGTGGAAGCCCCAGGAAGCCCCTTTCTGCTTTACCTTCCCTGAAATATCTGACCCACTGGCAAGTGGGTGGTGTTATTATCCCTTACAAAAGAATTTTAAATTTAATCTAGACCAGGACTGGTCTCAAACCTGTGAGTCGCTGGAGCTGAACAAAGCAGGTTAGAGACAGGTGAGTCGGGAATCAAAAAGAAGTTTAATTTCAGAGTGAGGAAAATAACTTGCAAGCAAAGTCCACCTTCCTGAGAACGGGGCTTGCCTGCTTATGGCAGGGTAGGGTTTTTTAAGCATGAAAACCACAAAAAGGTTGGACCATAACACAAAAGACAGGCATTCTTGGGTCATGTGAGTCCTACGTGAACATTCAAATCATTTAAGAGTCATTAAACCTTGTGATCATTCAGCGGGGCACAGAACCAGAGTCAGCATGGTGGGAGCAGGGGTGAAGTGCCTGGTTAGGTTCGCTTTGTCGGCTTCAGGTGCGACATTGTTAGCACATCAGGGGATTTGGTAACTTTCTGCTGTAGCATGTCGGCTATGATCTCAGCTCTCAGGTCGGGATCACCTGGAAAATAGGGGAGCTCCAACAAATCCAAACAAAATAATATAATCATTACCCATATATTAATTAATATGAAAATCATAAATTCCATGACAGCATCCCATTTATAGATAGGGAAACTGGAGCACAGGGGTCAAATAAACTGCTCAGGAAGTGTCTGAGGCAGGATTTTAACCCAGGCATTCCTGACTCCAAGTCCAGGGTTCTATCCATGATATTATGATGTGAGGTGGCTAGTTTTATCTGGGCAGGTGATAACTCTTACCAATTTTCTCATCCTGTCCTACTGTGTATAGTGGTAGATATAGTTCCACATGGTATCTTAAGAAATAGCTCTTTCAGGGGCAGCTAGGTGGTGCAGTGGATAGAGCACCAGCTGTGGAGTTAGGAGGACTTGAGTTCAAATGTGACCTCAGACACATAATAATACTTCCTAGCTGTGTGCCTCTGGGCAAGTTACTTAACCCCAATTGCCTCACTAAAAAAAGAAAGAAAGAAACAATTCTTTCAATGACCCAAGCTGTTCCATGACCAAAAAGAAAAAAATCTTCAAGTCAGTAATCTCCTGCTATTGCCGTATGGCCATGGATCATAGAACACCATCGTCTCCAAAGAATCAAAACTCTGAATAGCTCAGCCGGGCAATGGAGTGATGCTTAGAAGAGGAAAGTAGATGGCAATGTATTACCCATGATGCCTTATGGTAGGGGTAGGCCTAAGGGCCAGTTTGTGACCTGTAAGATTGAAAAAAAGAAATGATGCCCTCCCCCCCCATCCCCTTTGCAGAGGTGGAGGACTACAGGTGTGGAACTCTGCATATGATGTCAGGGCTTTTCAGTGTGGCGGTTAGGTGTCTCCACAGAGCAACACAGAATCTTAACCTCACATGGTTCTTCAATATACACATTTAGACAAGATTATTTAATGACTTGTGATGACCTGGTATTGTAACCTGTTATAATCTAGGGTTATTAGTGTCTTTGAAGATTAGAGACTGTGCTAATGCCATTTTTTTCCTCTTATAGGTAGTAGCATTCTGGGAAGGGGAGGGAAGATGTAGGTGATAAAAAAAACTAAAGCTATCAATAAAAATTATTTAAAGAAAAGGGAGATGGGCAGATCATGCCCAAAGCAGCAGGACCAATGGGATCATAGACTTAGAGCTGGGTATCTGACCCCCTTATTTTACAGGTGAGGAAACTGAGGTCCAGGGAGATGGTGCCCAAGATCCCACAGAGAGTCAGTGGCAGAGTGACCACCCAGGGTGGTCTCTTACTCTAGACTCATCTCACCATTGCATCACACTGCCTCCCTGGTACCCATGAAACACTGAAAGCCTTCAGCATGATGGGTCCATCCTCTAGAAAGGGTTTAGGGAAGATGTAGATGACACCAATGTCGACATCACTGATCCATTGAAATAGAGCAGGAATGCTTTGGGGCTATCCTCTGTTATCTCACACACTCACTGTGGGGCTGGCTCATCTCGGTACATAAGGGTCATAAGACCATAGGATTGAGAGTGGGAAGGGATCTCAGATCACCCAGGCTTGATGCCCTATTTACACTCTCAGTGGTTTTGTTGGTAGCATGCTACAACCACTACAAGCCCTTGAAATAGAGACTCAAGGGGCAGCTAGGTGGCACAGTGAATAGAGCACTGGCCCTGAAGTTAGGAGGACTTGAGTTCAAATCTGACCTCAGACCAAACACTTGACACTTACTAGCTGTGTGATCCTGGGCAAGTCACTTAACTCCAATTGCCTAAAAAGAAAGAAAAAGAAAGAAAGGAAAAAGAAATAGAGACTCAAAAAAAAAATGAAAGAGAGCAGGGGACAGCAGGACTTTTATCACTCCTCAAAAACTGATTCTCTTGTTTGGTGAGATCCATGTATGTGCAACTGATGTGGAGGTCATGGGTTTGAGGTCCTCGAAAGTCAATAAGGTTTTCACAGAGACATTCTCTTGGGGTAATAGTGGTCACAAAGGGGTCCTGGACAGGGCGTAGCTGGCTTAATGCCACCTAGTTCCTGGGCCCAGCTGGCTTCATAACAGATCAAACAGTAAGCATTGATGAAGCACCTACTATTTGCCAGGCACTGTACAGAGAAGAATAGATCCTAATCCTTCAGAGCCTATCTGAGAGGTCATAGATACGTAGCTGAAAGTCACAGAAAAATCACAGAAAGTTGAAGCAGCTTACCCAATGTCATAATAAATGTCAGAGACATTCCTCAATCCTCGGACTTCAGAGCTGATTCTCTTTCTACTATGCCATATTGCTTGATCATGTAGGGGGAGGCAGTAATGCCTAGTGGGAAGAACAGTTGAGGTGGAGTCAGGAAACTGGGGTTTGAACACCACCTCTGCTGGTTAGTAGCCACAAGACCCTAAGTCATTCACTGACCCACATGACCTCAATTTTCTCTATAAAATGAGGGAGTTGCAGATGAAGAAATTAAAGCCAACTATAGTCATATGAAAAAATTCTCTAAATCACTATTGATTAGAGAAATGCAAATCAAAACAACTCTGAGGTACCACATTACATCTATCAGATTGGCCAACATGATAAAACAGGAAAATGATAAATGTTGGGGAAGATATGGGCAAATTGGAACACTAATGCATTGTTGGTGGAGTTGTGAAATGATCCAACCATTTTGGAGAACAATTTAGAACTATGCCCAAAGCACTATAAAAATGTGCATACCCTTTGACCCAGTAATAGCACTTCTAGGGCTATATCCCAAAGAGATCATACAAATGGGAAAAGGACCCACATGTACAAAAATATTCATAGCAGCTCTTTTTGTGGTAGCAAAGAATTGGAAATTGAGAGGATGCCCATCAAATGGGGAATGGCTGAGCAAGTTGTGGTATATGAATGTGATGGAATACTATTGTGCTATAAAAATGATGAACAGGCTGACTTCAGAAAAACCTGGAAAGACTTGTATGGTCTGATGCTGAGTGAAGTGAGCAGAACCAAGAGAAACATTGTACACAATAACAGCCACGTTGGGTGATGACTAATATTGATAAACTTAACCCTTCCTGGCAATACAAGGATATAAGACATCTCCAAAGGCCTTGTGATGGAAAATGCTATCCACACCCAAAGAAAGAACTATGGAAGTTGAATTGCTATTTTTTTTCTTCTGTTGAGTTTTGTTTCCTCTTTCTGGTGGTTCTAATTTTTACTTACAACATCACTAATGTGAAAATATGTTTAATAGGAATGTATATGTATAGCTTATATCAGATTGTGCAGCATCTTGGGGAGGGTGATGGGTAGGAAGGGGGAGAAAAATTTTAAACTTAAAAGCATATGGAAGTGATTATTGATAAATCAAAATAAATTAATAAAAAATTGGAAAAAAAAATAAAATGAGGGAGTTGGATCAGATGATCATGGATCCCTAAGTTCATTTGGAAAGAGTCAGATGCAGGCATGAGGGCCATAGCATCATAGATTTAGATCTGGAAGGGACCTTAGAGGCCATTGAATCTGACCCTCTCATTTCAGAGACGTTGAAACAGGCTCAGAGACGTGAAGTTACCTGCCCAAGGTTACGTGGGTAATAAGGGGCAGACAGGATTTGAAGTATAAATTCAGTTCCTCTGAGTCCAGAGAAATAGATGTGGTGTGTGTGTGTGTGAGAGAGAGAGAGAGAGAGAGAGAGAGAGGAGAAGGAGGAGGAGGAGGAAGAGGAGGAAAAAAAAGAAGCAGGAGGACAAGGAAGAGGAAAGAGGGGGGAGGAAAGGGAGGAGATGAAAAGAAGGAGGAAGGAGAGAAAGAGGAAGAAGAGAAAGAAAAAAAGGAAAGAAGAAAAACAAAATAAAGCATTTGTTAAGCTCTTACTGTGTGCTGTCTTGGAGTTACAGCACCTTGGTGTGAGTTCTGTGAAGAATGTGAGCTCCCTGAGGGAACGTGCTGTCTTTTGCCTTTTTATCTCCAGTGCTTATCACAACACCTGGCATATAGTAAGTGCTCAATAAATGCTTATTGATTAACTGTGGTTGACCTTGGGCATGTCACTTCACTGGATCTGTTTCCTCATTTGCCAAATGAGGGAAGGGGGCGGGGTTGTCAAAGGATTCTAGACCCTGAAGATACCTTCTCCATCATGGGGTCCACCCCTGCTTCCTGGGGGACCTTGTATTCATGCCTTTTCTATTCTGGATACATTGACAGATGTCCTCATTTCCCCCATTAGAATGTAAACTCCTTGAGAGTGGAGGTAGTTATGCCTCTATCTGTCCCCAGCAGCCAGCACAGGGCTTGGCACATAGTACATGGGAGCATGAGAGGGTTAGACTCCACAGCCTCTAAGGTCCCTTCCAGATCTTCATGTGTCATTAGGACTGTCATGTGGAGGAGAGATAAATCTAGTTCTGCTTGGCCCTAAAGAGCAGAACCAGCCCGAATGTGGGCAAGTAGAAATAAAAGCCAGTTTTGGCTTGATGTCAGGAAGAACTTTTTTGGGGGGGGTTTTTTTTTTTAGGCAATTGAGGTTAAGTGACTTGCCCAGGGTCACACAGCTAGTAAGTGTCAAGTGTTTGGTCTGAGGCCGGATTTGAACTTGGGTCCTCCTGACTTCAGGGCCGGTGCTCTATCCACTGCACCACCTAGCCGCCCCTCAGGGAGAACTTCCGAACAGGGAGAGCTGTCACCTCGGGCAGCGATAGGATCTCCCTCGTGTGAGGGATCGCTCAGAATCATACACAGGAGCCTACATCTAGAGCTGGAAGGGATCTCAGAGGTCACCCAATCCAACTTCCTCATTTTACAGATGAGGAAACTGAGGCCCAAAGCAGTCCAGTGACGACCAAGGTCACAGAGGTAGCACACAGCAGATCCAGGATCTTCTAAAGGGGATTATTTTTTAGGCACAGGTTGAAGTCCCCTCAGCTCTGAGATTCATTCATGTAGCAAACGTATGAAGGACCTACTGCGTGCTAAACCCTATGTTGGGGAAAGAAGCCATCAGATCATAGGATTCAGAGCTGGAGGGAAACTTATTTTCAGGAAGAAAACACTGTAGTTCAAAGTTCCTGATGTCATGGGGGCCCTAGAGAGTGAATGGCATTTTGTGTTTCTTTCAAAATGTACTGGCCTTGCTTGGCAGGCAGGTGAGCTCAACCTTCCTGGAGGCCTTCAAGCCAAGGCTCAATGACTACTTCTGGGGAATGGGGCCAGATGGCCCCTGAGGTCTTTGCCAACTCTATGATTCTGTGAAAAGACAGGGCTGGTACACTTGGTCACATACATTACCTAATGGAAACACACACGTTGCATATAATAGTAACCTTTTATTCTGGGAACAAACACCTGTGATTCAAGTATATGTAAACGTCTGTGATGACCTGCAGCACCCAGTGAGTGTCCTTCCACCCAGGAATTTGTTTGTAGCACCAGTCATTCAGGTCAGCCCAGTGCGATGATGATGGTGGTGGTAGTGATGGTGGGGGCAATGGCGCTTACACAGGTGGGTTTGGCATCAATTTCTTCTGTATGGCTGTGCTTCCCAAGGGCTCAGATGCCCGCATTAAATATCATTACATTTGGTTTTGGACATAACATGCAAATACAATGCAAAACTGGTATCCTTAAAATAAAATAGAAAAAAAAAGCACATGCTCTCCCAGTCCCCTGATCAGAAATATATACAGGTAGCACCTGAGAGTGGTGGGAAAGATGGAAGGCTGAGTGGAGTGAGTGGTCACTGGATTCATGCTTGGGTGAAATCAACTAGACGTTGGAGGACTAGCCAGTGCTAGGTGGAATCAACCAGACTCTGGAGGACTAGCCTGAGTGAAATCAACTAGACTCTAGAG